TGTATGCTAAATTAGGAGGACGTGTGTGTGTGTGTGTGTGTGTGTGTGAAGGAAAGGGAGAAAAAAGAAGAAGGAATGTGGGAGAAGAAGAAAGGAGGAGAAGGGAAGGGCTGCTACCCAATCAGAAATAGAAGAGAAGTGAGGGACCTACCAGAAAGGAGAGCAAGGAGGAGAAAGGGGGAGAAAAAAAAAAAGGGGGAAATCGGGTTTCCCTCAACCCGTGACCTGACCTGGTGAATTCTCCCATCTTCGGCCACCTTGGACGAGGCCAACCAATCCCTCTTCCATTTTCATGTGAAAATTGGGTGGAAATTGGTGAGTTTTGGGTTAAACCGTGGAAAAGGGGGCGCACGGGTTGGGTTTCATTCCCCTGTGATTTGAAGCTACCTCCTCCAATTACCACCACAAATAGACTCCCCTCAACCTCAGGAACAAAGCTCAAACACTTGTGGAGGCGTTGGAGTGAGCATGGAGGTCGAATCGAAGCACACCTTTTTTAGGGTTTCCGACGGATTTATGTAACATTGAAGCTCTTACCGGCCAAATTGGCCTTGGTCATAGGTATGAAAGTTATTCTACTCATTGAGATCTTCATTCTTGTAAATTTTGGTAATTTTTAGAAATAGTTGGATTTTCCGGCGAGTTAGGGCGACCAACGGCCACCCGCAGCGGCGCGTGCGGCAACACATGGCCAGGGGACCGTCGATGCTACTTTTAGGCTAAATTAAATGTCTTGAGTTCAGTTTAGTTATTTTTATAACGTAGATTGATTGTTTGGACCTAAATTCATTACGATATGTTACTTGATAAAATGTGAATCGATGATCCGACCGTTGGACCGTCACCAAACTTGGATACATTATAACACATAATATTTAAGGATCATACGAATTTATGGATCGGGAATCCGACTTACGGATATTCTCGAAGTGGATTTGTAAGTTCGTAAAATAAATATTAACCACCACTTAGTTTTGGGCAATTGGTGAAGATCCGACCGTTGGATCATAATGAAATTTTAGTATGTTATGCTAGAAGCATAATGTGGATCTTTGGAGGTTTCGGATTGGAAATCTGAAATGCGGATCTTCTGGATTGAGTTATACAGGGTTGTAAACCCTACCGTCGATCTTTGATTGACGGTTAACTTGTGGTCAATGGGTCTCAAACTATTTTAGAATGTCCTTGAGGATGTGCTTTATGTGAATTACGTATTCTATTGATAAGAGTTCTGAGATGTGATTCGATAATTGTTCTAGGCACCAATCGTTTCGGACGCCTCGATGTGCGTGTTATAGAATCCTAGCGTGGACTCCAGGTGAGTGGGTCTTTCCCTTTTTATCATATGTATATAATTGATAGTTCCACAAACGCTTCTAAATTGATTTGTGCATGTTACCTACAAATAATTACTTTGAACTACGATTGGTTTGATCCTTGTTTAGGGTACGTAGGTAGTCTAACGAGACATTAGATGTAGCCATATAATAAAATGAGATTAAATAATTGAGACAATAGCCTTGTTTGGGGAATTGAGCAATGTGAGGGACATTAGTGGAAAATGTGAGATTTAACCTTATGATTTGGTGGTTAAATGTTGGTCATAAATCAATGTGTGAAGAATCAAGAAATTATAAAAAAATGTAAGTAATGATAGTTAATTAAACTAATGTCTAGTTGGGCTTATCACCGATAATTATTCCTGAAAATAAATAGTTTGGAAGTGGGGCGTTACAAATTATGCATTTCACGCCATGTTATATATATATGTATATATTTGGAAACACTATGCTATGGTTGTGTTTTAGATTGCATCATGGCATATCCATATGTATATTATCTGCACATAATTATTGTGAATGCTTTGAAGTGCAAAGGTGAACGCAAGACGCTCAGGTAAGTACCAGGTGAGTTATTGATTGATTAAGTGAATTGATGATTATGTGAGATGTGATGAGAGCTCATAACATGCACCCCGGTGTTAGTGCTCCCGCCCGTAGCCAAGGCACAATCCTTCACGTGATGTTCACCTCTCGCACCTTATGCTCACCTTGGATCCAAGGTAGGTGCACAGTCTTGTCGTACAGACCACTATAGGTGGTTCCGACTCATAGGTGACCCACGATTATTCGCACAGCCTTCATGTGATCGTAGCACTTAAGCGTATTTATTTACACCCAATCTTGTCGTACATACCATTAGAGGTGGTTCCGACTCGTGTGTAGGCATGTTTGATGAGCTATGGATAAGTCGTACAGATCACTATAGGTGACTCCTGACTTATATGCTAGCATGTTTGATAAGCTATGGATAAGTCATAAGTCATACAGGTCATTCATAGGTGGCTCCTGACTTATATGCTAACATGTTTGATGAGCTATGGATAAGTCGTACAGGTCACTATAGGTGACTCCCGACTTATATGCTAGCATGTTTGATGAGCCATGGATAAGTCGTACAGGTCATTATAGGTGACTCCCGACTTATATGCTAGCATTGATTGATGAGATAAGTTGTACAGGTCACTATAGGTGACTCCGACTTATATGCTAGCATTGATTGATGAGGTATGTGATGAGATATTGATTAAGTCGTACAAGTCACTATAGGTGACTCCAACTTATATGCTAGCATTGATTGATGAGATATTGATTAAGTCGTACAGGTCACTATAGGTGACTCCGACTTAAATGCTAGCATTGATTGATGAGATATGTGATGATATATGGATAAGTCGTACAGGTCACTATAGGTGACTCCAACTTATATGCTAGCATTGATTAATGAGATATGTGATGAGATATTGATTAAGTCGTACATGTCATTATAGGTAACTCCGACTTATATGCTAGCATTGATTTATGAGATATGAATAATCGTACAGGTCACGTGAGGTGATTCCGGCTAGTATGTTGATGAGCTATTGATTCAACCGTACAGGCCACAATAGGTGGATCCGGCTGATATACTATTTCATATTGATTTATTTCATCTGGGTTACTTATTCTTGTTGAGATATTGGACACGGCATAACTCTGAGACTGTTATTTTGGTTTTGGTTTGAATTATTGTCACGCCTGTTATTTTCTAGGAAATTATACAGGTGTTACAGCGAGGGGTTATTGCCTTTAGTAATTGAAATTGGTTTGAAAAGTTTTGTTTCACCCACTCACACTTTCTATTTTTGCACCCCTCCAGGTTCTAGTAGCAGAGTTCCATATCGACGAGGATTCGTGGCACTTTTCAGTATAGATGTCTTCTTATGATGATATAATCATTATCTTACCTTACTATACTATACCTATGCTCTGTATCATGCATGAAATGAGTCCAGACCTGCTCATCGCGCACTCGTGTACTTAGGCACTTTTAGATTTTAATTATTCACATTTGATACATTGTCACACTTTATGCTTCGTCACCTTCCTGGTGTCGGCTAGCACGACTCGATTCGAGGTCCTAGTGGACATTTCAGGTCGGGGTGTGTCTGTACTACTATACATTCATATAGGTAAACTATATATGTGTACCTATATATATATATATATATATTGAGCTTATGGTAGTAATATATACATTTGAACGTATATATGTGTGTGTTTGGGATAATAATATATGCAATAATTATATTTTCATTGTAATTAAGGTGAGTAATAACATTTATTGATTTTTGTTTTTTGAATATTGTGGTACAAATTGTAAATATTTTGTAATTATAGGTCAATTACTTCTATACTTGGCAGTCATTTTTAAATTTAGGCTTTATTTGGATATTTATAATTAGGTGAGTTTTTATCTAGGAAATAAAAGTTGCAACGGTCTATATCTAAAGAACACCTATATTATACAAAAATTAGAAGGGATAGGTTGACTTCATGATTAATGCATGACTTCATGCTTAATGCATGTTTCCCACCATTACGTTGGAAAAAAATAAGAAGTATGAACATGTATAATGTACATATCTAGGGGTGGTTTTGGTACATTACCGTACCAAACCTTTATACCAATTACCATACCAAATATTTGGTACGGTAAAATCTATTACCATTACTGTACCAAACTTTTCGGTATACCAAATAGTTTGGTTGGTATGGTATGCCAATGATAATTGTCACTTTGTTAGCCCAAAATCTAATATTTTTTAATTAATGTAGAAGTGTAAAAAATATATAAACGCTCGTAATGACAAGCTTTACAACTTTCATGAAGAGCTTAACTTTGAAATTTGCCATTATAATCATATAAATCATAGATCAAAATTTAACCGTTAATTGTTGTTTACATTGCTTCATTTTTCTCATCAAATTTTGTTTTTTTTCGGATTTTCTTTTTTGAAAATATGATCTATTAGAGGATGCATGAAGATGAACGGTTTGGATCGTTGATATTATGTTCAGAGTTTAATGGTTAGTAAAAATATTGCTTGATGTTTACTCATCGACTATTTCAGTTAACCATAACCATAAAGCATGATGGTGAGCAGTAGAGAACCACTCAACTACATGCGATTTTCTGATGACAAGAAAAAGGTGTATGTTGTATAACTCTACGTGCCCAATAAGTACCTAAGTTGTAATAACTTATCATCTATATATGATAATAATTTGCATATAGAAAGGTAGGGCCTTCCTTTTCAAGGCCGTTGTGTCCCATATTTAAACCGTCTCCCTCCATTTAGTATAGTTTAAAGTAGTAATTTCACTTATTATAAAAAGTATATACGTGAGGTGGAAAAATGTTGAGTTTATTTACTTATTTAACTTATTTAACATTGGAAGGTTTCATATCCTGAACTTGGTCTACTCCAATCGATGAATCCACTCACCCTCGCCACTAGGCACTAGGCTAACCCTAGTGGCTTACTAGTGGTTTCTTAATCATTAGTCTACTCCACCCGTCACTCTATAGCACTCATCACATGACCAAGTTTCCGGGACATATCCTGTTACACTCAAGATTCTGCCCTCAAACTTCCATTAGTCAAAGTTCATCCAAGATTAGAAAATAGCACTCTATCATTATTAATACCCAATAGTGCATACACATAATTACACAAGGCACAATTGGAAAGGGAAAAAAATGGATTTTATACAATCACTCCACCCTCCTCCATTGAACCCACTCAAGACAATCCATACTGAACAGCTCCAGTGTTCCGGTGAGCAGCTACAGCTACAGCAGCGGCACCTACAGGACCAAACTGAGATTGCGCGTGCAGTAATTTTGAATCTATCGAGCTTAATTGATCTACTTTGGCAGGTGGCGGGTAGTACGGGTTTGTATTGACTTCAATGACCATGCCCGGAGAAGGCTTTGCTGCTAAGTTGCACTGTTCGGGTTGGGGTTGCAGTTTAGCATGTGATTCATACCTCTGCACCTCCACTCCGGCCTTGTCTTGGTTGGCAGTATGAATTCTGAAGAAGCAGTGTGGAGAGACAGACTGAGGAGGAACTGCGTTTCTGTATAACGTCCTCGGATCATACATTTCCTTCACATTTCTGCCATTCTCGTATGGAAGAATTGGTCCAACAACTCGCCCAGGTTTTGCTGTAGGGTAAGGAAAATTATTAACACTACTGGAGCATAAACAAAACAATCAGATGCGCCAACGCTACATGCTATGCCATGCTGGGGTTTTATTTGAACCCGGGTGTGGCATGGCTAGTAAATCATACGAATGACAAAAATAAAGTTATTTGTGCTTCTGAAACTCATATTCCGAAGGGCCAGAACATGCTACTTGTTAGGCATTGTGTCAGAAGAAGTGGGGTTGCAGAAATAGAAAAGAACATAAATTGGGTTATCGATAAATCATCACTACATCATGATATATTCTGCCAATTCTAATTTGAAATTGCATACCTTAAAATAAGATTAGCTAGGTATTATTACAAGGCAGTGGATTACCTGTTGGCACCCTCGGTGGTGGCCTTGAAACTTTTGGTGCATTTCCAGAAATTGTGTCCGTTACTCTAAAACTGCTACAAGCCTCATCTGTCTGTCGGTTCTCATACGAGACCAAATTTGACTGTGCACTAGGGGGGACTGTACTTGAGTGAACGGTGGATCTGAAAACAAGGACATCGATAATCCAAGAAAAAATCCCAAAATCAACATTTTTACCTGATGATAGCACAAGACTAACATTGACCAACACCAAAAGGAGCTTGAAAATAACGTACCGTGGAAGGGAGACATGCTTCCTCTCTGGAGGAATAACCGGTCCACTTTTCCCACCATTTTCCTCGAGATACGCAAATTGCTTTCTGAATTGGCCTATTGCACTGCATTGAAGAAATATAATAAATTTTATGGAAACAGCAAACTCTATATGACGAAAAACTGTGATAGGATTGTTAAGAAATAAAATTTCAACCTCGGATACGTAAAACTTGTGCCTTCAGTTCCATTCAAGTAGTCCTTAAGTAGCTGAGGATGGTATTCTAGTATTTCCCGGTAAATTAGTTCCCTGATGTCCTCCTTTGTGACTCTTCGCCTTTCAAATTCAAATTCCATCTTCGAAATAGGCTGGCAAGAAGGTTCTCTCTCAACTTTGGCTAGACCCTTGAAGTAAGGATCAGCTAGTGCCTGTGTAAAACAAACACAGAGAAAAAGTTTTAGTCCACCTCTGTTAAACAAAGAGAAGAACAAGCTCCCCAAATCTACTTGCTAGATGCATTTTTAGTAAATATTTATCTGGCACAAACCTGCTCAGCAGTTGGTCTATCCTTTGGGTCAAAAGCCAATAGCCTTTGTAATAGGCGCAGCGCTAGAGGATCTGCTTTAGGAAATTTTTGTGTAAACGGCACAGGAGGTTTTCTCTGCATTTCCAAGTATTTCCTTGCCTTCTCATTTCTAACCTGAATGTAAAGAAATAGCCATAGCATTAGTAACTAGAGAAAAAAACAGCAATACTCACCAATATGCATGTGTGTTTTTGAGTGAGAGAGAGAGAGAGAGAGAGAGAGAGAAAGAGAGGAATAAATGGCACATACTCCAGAGATGGTCTCGAGCGGAGGTGTTCCGAGGAGATCAGTGATCAAATCTAATTGATGAATAACGCTTTTACCCGGAAACAATGGCTTCCCTGTCAATACCTCGGCAAAGATGCAGCCAATACTCCATATATCAATTGCAGGTGTGTACTGCAAACAAGAAGCAAGCAAAAATCAGATCATCGAACCAGAATTAGAAAGCTCATGAAGCACTTAGACCACTCCAGAGAAATGGACATAACCTGACTCAATTACCTGACTGACAGATACAACTTCCAGGAGAATTCAATAGTCCTCCCTGAACAAGAATTATTATAATCTAGTATTACTGCTTACTATAAAGCACTCAGAAGAGAAAACACTCCAGACAGAAATAAATGCATGATTTCATCTATGTCAAGCCAAGTAAATTTTGCAATGCTTATTTGGCTATAAATTGCCAATCAAACTTCTTATTTCAAAAGTATACTCATTTTAAAACAAGTAGAAAATAAATGTATTTAGGCAACGCCACAAGAGACTGTCTGACGAGAAAGGTCAATAACAAACCATACTGCATCATAACAACACCTCCAAAAAAAAATGGAGCATGATCTATTTATATTGGCATTGGCTCTGAAATCTGAATACAAGTCACTGATGTTAGAAAAGGCATACCTTGGAAAGGAATGACCCACATAATTCTGGAGCTCTATACCATCTTGTAGCAACATAGTCCTATAAGTGCATCAAAGAAACAACATCAATGCCATTATTTATTATGCAGGTTTGAAACAATTAACAAGTAATAAAATTCTGTTAAAGGAAATTGGAGATTGAAAATGACTCACTGTCCAAAATATTGTTGTTGGAGTATCATTAAAGGCAACTCTTGCTAGTCCAAAATCACAAACTTTGAGCTTGCAATTTGCATTTGCCAGTATATTTTTTGGCTTAAGATCTCGATGATACACATTTGCTGCAACCAAAACACTAATTCTTAGGTCATAGTGCAGACCTAATCATGAAATTCACTCTTGAGTTTCCATAAATAACAAAAAACTAAAATGAGAATATATCTACCATTGAAGAATTAATACAACTATGGACACAATCAATATTTAAACACATTATTTAGGAAATTTAACAATTTATGGGAAAAAACAATAAAGAACAATGAGCATAAATGAGAAAAACAGGAAAGTCACCTGTATGCATATATTTCAAAGCACGTAACATCTGGTAAAGAAAGAATTGATGGTGTTCGCGGGTCAAGTCATCATTAGCCTTGATAACTTGGTGAAGATCTGACTCCATGAGCTCAAAAACAACATAAATATCTTTGAACTCTTTCTTTGAAGGTGGCAACATGATCCGCTTAATTTCGACAATATCAGGATGTCTTAAAAGTCTAAGCAACTTAACTTCACGCAAGATCCTAAAGGCATCAGAGATGTGCTCAAAGATATCATGTATTTTCTTTATTGCAACTTTCTCCCCAGTATGTGTGTCAATAGCTGCACAAACAACCCCATAACTTCCCTTCCCTATGACTTCGAGAATCTTATATCTATTAGCTTCACCATATTCGGTGAAAAAGTCCATCTCTTTCAGCTGCTGAAAAATAGAAAGAATACATTTAGAAAAACACGTGCATATAATATACACATAAATTTCAAAAATCAAACAAATTGTAACTTCCTTTTGTACAACAAAATACAATGTCATAAAATAAGACAGCAAATTTTTTTATGAACAGAAAAAAAAAACAGCCTAAGATCGATCACAAAAGCACCAATTATTTCATAACAAATGCTTCTTCCTCAGGTCAAGGTTTCATTCACGTATCTCAGTTGAAGAGTTATGTTAAAGAGTTACCAAGACACCATTTCTGTTCAAACAGGAACCAAAGACATACATTGTGATAACTATAACTCATACGGCCCTCCAACAAAGTAATAGAATAAGATAATAGAATCAGGTGCCAGAAGAAAAGGGAGCAGAGTAAAACAGTATGCTATGGTGGAGTATCAAACAGTTATAAAAAAAGACTAGATTCCTTGCTTTGAAATGCAATTCCACAACAAAGAAACAGAAAACAAAAGATAAAACACAATCTGAAACAAAACCACATAAAAAGAATATTCAAAGCACATTCTTTAATTAAACCATTTTGCGTGTAAGAGTGACGAAAACAAGATAAATACCTCAAAAAATTACTACAAGAACGGTAGCACCAACAGAAAACACAACAGAAATAGCAATTGAACAGTTCACCCAAGAAACAGGAAACTGGAAAGAAAAAAATGCCACCAAAAAACCAAACTGGGCTTAGTATTAACCTTACAGACATTGATAATATGGTGAAAATTCAGGCTTACAAAACCCAATAAAATAATATTAAAGAAAATCATAAATCCATTAAATTTTGAATGATATCTTTCAAATTCCGGAACACATTCTCTTAGCAGTCAAATGGAAGATGATAACCCCAACCCAGGTCTTGAAATACCCCAAAAAACTCCAGAGAGAGAGAAAGATACCTTATTTTGGTGATCAGGACGCATCATCTTCGTCTTGCTCTTCTAGTAATCGAACAAAATTCGAACTCAAAGGAAAACGACGACTGATAAAGTTCTAGATACAAAATCTTTGTATGAAGAAGACCTAGAAGAAAACTAAACTATCCACATTTGCACCAGTCCGAACGACGAGGCCAAAGTCCCTTCTAGCACAAACAAATACACCAACAACCTCCTCTCTCATCCAAATCCACACCTCCCCTCAATTCCCCAATTTCCCCAAGATCCAGCAATCCCAAAATCAACCCCAAATTCAGAAATTTCAATAACAAACTGAAACGGAAACCCTAGAAACTTTGGAAAAATCCAACTTCCAAACCCCTAGGATTGTTCGAAATTTGAAATTGGAAACCCTAGGCTCTCTTTGGGAACGAGAGATCCAGCAGGGTGGCCGTGGCCGTGGCGTATCGGCGAGAAGTGGAAGGGAATTCAAAGAAAAGGGAGAGAGGCAGAGGAGAGGAGCGAAGAGAGATGGTCTTATTTGCTTAAATTTTGGGGATTTAATTTGATAATTTTGATTTTTTTTTCGTTTTATCCACCACAACGGACCTTTTTTTACACAGTGTGTACGGTGTACTGCTGGCGTATACGTCAGTGGCCGTATTGGTAATTCTTTCAAATACCATGCCTCTTTGGATGTTTAGACATAGAGAATAATAAATTCCATCTTATCCTATTTGAACCACTAAACTATATTTACACGTGTTGAGACTTTTTACGAGCTTTTTTATTTTTCCGAGGAAGTTTATATTTGTCCTAAGTATTCTATTTTTTCGTCTAATTATAAATTTTGTTATATTATATGCTAAACTAGTTATTGGCAGAATTTAGACTCACGTAATTATGTAAAGACTCAACTTCTTTTAATCATTGTGGTAAAATATCACTCGATATTTGCCTTAAATATTCGTTTTGGTCATTCCATAAGTCATCTTGTGATCTAAACCTCTCATTTTTTATCATTATCAAAGGGTGAAACAAAATAGAAAATCAAAATTGACAATATTGATTTCAAAAGGAAAAAGTTCGACATCAAATTAAATTAGCATATATACCCTTCAAAATGACAGCGTTTTAGTCCATAACTTAAGTTAAAGGAAAACGACATGTAGCTCAAAGAAAGAAAAAACTACATGTCGTTTTTTCAGGGATTTGAGAGATCCCTTCGTGATGGCAGCAGCCATTTTTCTCAGATTTCCTCCTTCCACACCCTATTTCACATCATCCACTCTTCAAAACTCAAAATTATTCACCTCCACTTCCTTTTTTTAATCTCTCTCGCACCACCATTGCTAGATCCGTCCACCAACAAGAAAACATAGAGAAGAACAATGTATTTTTAACCTAAATTTTCAATTTCTTAGTTCCAATATGTATTTTCATTTTTGTTTTAATTCCCATTGTTGCTTAAGTTTAGGATGGCGAGTTGGTGATTATTATGAATTTGAATTTGTTGATTAGTTAATCGGGGAATTTGAATTGTGATTGGTTAATTGGTGTGGAGAGGCATTTGAATATAACTAAAGGTAAGAAACCACCACCACCACCACCACCATCACCACCAAACTAATCCAAGTAGTGAATCTTCCAAGAGAATGAAATTGAATGAAATCTTAGTTAATCTTCCTGCATACCCGAGACTTCGGCCTCCAATGTCAGAGTATGATCCTAATAGATGAAATTGGAAAAGCATATAAGCTTTCACTTTTGAAAGGTGTAATGTTGTTTCCTTTATGATTGATAATAGTGTCGTTTAATTTTAAATTGTTTTTCCACAACTACTCATAAGCAGTCATATTTTGTCCACCCAAGATTATTTTTGAAGAGATTTGATATTCACACATCTTATTTTACTTTTTACACACTCTTCTAATTTTCGGTCGTCGGATCGAATGAATTAAAGAAAATCAACGGATAGAAATTAATAAGGGATGTGTAAGAAATAAAATAGAATGTATGGACATCACAACCCTTTTTGAATCCTCCCTTGAATATCGCCTCGCTTTGTTTACCAAGTGACCAAGAGCATGAAACTCCAATCATTATATAAATTATGAGGATGCCATTAATACTCTATATATAGAGTTATTTTACCAACGTTATTGTGTTGGTTCTATATGAGAAATTAAATATGTACGAAAAACTAGTTGAACACAAACAATATTGTTGACTTATAATATTTATGAGAACTAACCAACTTGCCTGAAGATTAAGGTCACCAACTCAAAATATCTTAATCTTCTTCTTCGTCATTAATTTGGCCGCCAAAGTCATAGTACGTAGCCACAATTCCGACCATGCAGATTACGTCGTCGTTCCCACAAGTACAACTACTGTTCCATCTCCTCTACGCAACCAATAGTGCCTCTCTCTCTCTCTCTCTCTCAAGAAACACGTTGGTGTAGTGATGATCCCATGGTCATAAATAGGGAATGAGTTACACTCCGAATCTCTATGTGTGAAGGCTACAGAATGAGAGCTCAAGATCAATCGTTAAAGAGAGGTAGAGATCGCAGCCGTTCAAGTTTTTGAGGTTTTCTGAATTAAGTCAGTGACAGCGAGATGGGCGAATGGAGACTGTATTGAAATTGAGTGGTCCGGATCTCTTAGTCCGTAGACTACAGACATAGAGATCCGAAGTGAATCTCAATCCGTATATACGGACATACGTACACATTCAACGTGGACATATTATATGCTTACACTAGAGCTGACGAAAGAAAACTATACGTGCATTCAATGGGAATGTTTGCTGCTGATGGAAGCCAAATTATAGATGTATGCGCCCATCAAATAAAACGTGAAATACAAGCATTGGTTACAAACATCAACTGATCAACGGTTATGCCAACACACTACTACTACAATTTGAAGCTCATATAACACAAACAATGAAGAATGACAAAGATGACTCATATCAACTCACACACTAGAAGCCAACAACTATTCTATCAAATCATATAAGACTTTTAAAACATTTGTGTCCATACTAGGATCTTCTTGAAAATTCATGCTCTCAACAGTCGAGAGGGAACTGAAACCTCGCGACGAGAACAAGTATAGCCGCACATGACATCCCGTCGACTCAAAAGGTTAGGACACTTCTGATGCAGAATTATATCTTAGGAATATATTCATTAAGCGTAATACTAGAGAGATTAAATTTGTAGACTAAATTAGCAAATCAAATGAGGTTTTACCAATAGAAAATGAACATATTTATCAACCATTAAGTAATAATCCAATTACCAACTTCCATATTATTTAGTTTATAAAATTTAATCTACAAATTTAGTTTTCCTAACATTACTCATTTATTAATTTAGTCTCCTATTTGTAATAGAGTTAAGATTACTTTCCTATATATTCTTTACATTTATGATTTTTTTTTTCCTGCATAAAAGTAATTATAAATAGGTGTTTTTGTACCTCAATGGATGAGACTTGAATGATCAAGAAAAGAAAAGTTGAGACTCGAACGATTTGAAATTACCAAAATAAAAAAAATGAAAAATAGTGAGAGGAAAATGCTCTATGTACAGGGAGATTTTTTTTAATGTGTCCGGAATACAGGATCGGTACTTCACGTGTCATTATACAATTGATGAGATATTTGGATTAAAAAATAACAACTTAAAAATAAAATTTTATTTATTTATATAATAACATATATTGTATTACATGTGTTCCGAGCAAAATAATTTTTTTTCCCTATATATGATCATTCTCATTCGGCTCTCTTTATCAAATCACACCCACAAACTTTTTCCCAAAGCAAACAGCAACGAAAAGAATAATTTGCTTTTTCATAATTGTACAATCATACTTTTCATAATGTCCTTTCATCTTTTTTCTGCTTTTAGACCAACAAAATATTTACCAATTAGTTCAACAACATTTTCGGGATCCTCTCAACCAATAAATAGCAACTTTTAGCAGAAACTATACAACAAATTCACATAACTATTTACGGTTCATGAATTATTATTGGTCAACTGAGAACTTAGCCTTTTGACCCTGCACTGTCTTAAAGCAAATCAATCACAATCAGCAGGCGCTTATGCCATCTAGTCACTACTCCATTACCCCCATCATCTCTTCAAAAGTATTGCTACTACAGCTATTGATCTACACAATGCAAAACATCGTGCATCAGTAGCATGTACAGAGGGGGAAAGCTTTGGTGCCGTCAGGATATTATCATGTGAGTATCTCACTGAACTCTCGATCTAGTAGCGTGATAGAGCAGATAAAATTTGGCTCAGCCACTACCCCCTCTAGTTCAATCACAAGAATATTCTCATGTGAGTATCTCACTCAACTCTTGATCTAGTAGAGTGGTAAGGCAGGTGAAATTGTGGCTCCGTATAGTTCAATCTTATAATGTTTTACATAATTGGTATACGTACCACGTTAAGATTTAAACCTAATTATTAAGGTAGATTTCTGAGCAAGTGGCATGCTAGCTAAACTTGCTATTATATATATAAATATATATATGCCTACAATTTCGAGACAAGAAACTAGTATACTAACTACCAAATGATATTGAGGTTTCTTGTCTTTACATTCTTAGAAAGTACAAACAGAATTTGAATCACAGTAATAGGTGCTTGAAGTAATTTTTTTTATGATTTAATTTGTCAATTTTTTCACATTACATTAGAAAACTTTACAGTGCGTGAATCGACATCTTCAAGTTGGGTTGAAAGCGGTACAGTATTACTTGAGTTTTGAAGGAAATGAAGAGTGTATCTTTAAAAAAAAAAGAAGAAAGATAAATTAATCTTTATGCAATTTGGACCAGCTAGCTAGCTAATATGCAAAGAAAGAAACATATATGATAAAGAAAATAAGAGTCATACGATTACTAGGGACTTCTTCGATCGCTGAGGAATTTATAGAATTACTGACAGGATTTGCTCCTGAATGTACTTCGTGCAACGCTTTCCTTTTGACATGATGATGATTTCCTTCAACAGATGATGAATAGTAGAGTTGCTGATGATTGACATGAAATAGATCAGGAAGTGCCTGTGTGAAAGACAGAAGAAAAACATAGTAGTCCTCAAGTTTGTATTCTGTGTAGTTACCTTGACCCGGAAATCATTTGATGATTCTCTTACTACCTTAGTCTTGGTATCCTCATCTGAAACAAACACAGGTTCATGTTAACTCATCAGAATATATGTGCGGGAGAGAGAGAGAGAGAGACAGAGAGAGAGAGACCTTGTACTTTTCTTGTGGCCAAACTTGAGTGAGCAAAGAGATCATGGGAGAGGGAGACTAGAAGGATTAGGAGAAAATTCAAGTAGAAGTTCATAGTGTTTCATTAGTAGGGGATCATGATAGAATATTGGTGATCAACGATAAGAAGTTTGGTCAGGAGAGAGAGAGAGAGAGAGAGAGAGAGAGGCTCCAATGCAATGCATAGGGAGATGATGATCAGTTCAGACAGTTTGAGATAGACAACAAAAGATAGTAGTACGTTTGTCTATTGTGGCTGGGGATGCACATGGAGAAGTGCATTCACACGCATGTGTGCATATATAAGCGAACCCTTTATCGTAGGAGAACAACTTACATAGAAATTATACACTATCACGTGATCTCTCGTGCCAATACAACGAGAATACATGGACTAAATTTTTTTTATTTCATTGGCACCAAGATCCTCTAAATTTTTTTTATTTCATTGGCACCAGGATGTCATTGTAGCAATATGCCCATGTCATATTAGTCAAGGTTCTAAAAAACGCTAGGCGTTAGTCAGGCGGCGCCGCTAAGGCCTAGCACCTAGGCAGCTAGACGAGGTCTAGGTGGATTTAACTAAATCAATTATATTTCATGTAAATAAGTATATGTTTATACTTAAAATATATATAATTTCATCATAAACTACAAAATAGAATGACACATATATTATGAAGTATTGGAACATAATGAAAACATGGGGAACAAACATATAATGTGTGCTCATTTAAGTATTCAACAAGTCTCTTACAATTTATTGAAAAAAATAAAAAAGCAAAATGAAAGTTATCTATTTTCTATCTAAGTGAGTCATAACCTAGTCGGGTCTGGGCGGGCTAGACAGGTGCCTAGGCGATCTAGGCGCCCTTTTTAAATTTTCAAACACGTAGGCGGGGATTTTTAGAACAGTGATATTAGTCATTAACTCATTGCATGCTTCTTTGGGGATGTTTTTCTATCTATTCAAGTTTGACTTGTTCTTTAGGCCTTTGGTCCTGAATGTGAGTAAAGATGAAAAGAGGAGACGCATTTGGAAAACTACTTATGTAACTAGGACAACCATGTAGCAGCGTTCCAAACCAATTATCGCGTGAAATAGCTAAAACTTGACGGGGGAGTGATAAGATTGCAATACTGCCATCTTAGACAATTTTCAAAGGAAATGTGAAATTATAAGAGTTAAATTACAATTGATGGCTAATGTGGTAATCTGATGTCTTATGTCAAATTTTGTACTTTTTAGAATTGTCAAATGGTATTTTCTTATTTTAATGTACTTTTAAATAGTTGTAATCGTTAAAAAAAATTATTGGTTGAATGTTAGTTAAATAAAAGACCCACCATTAAAATGAACTAAAAATAAATTTGACATTAATGTCCAATTTGACTTCTAATCATGAAGCCCTTAAATCTAATCAATAAATAATACTTCGGTTGTATAAACTTTTGATGTCAAATATGTACAGTGACATTCCACTAAGATTTTGACATCTCCTACAAAGATGCTCTTGGTATCTAAATTGCCCGTAAGCACCTTATGGTTTTGTTGGTAAATGTCTTCAGCAGATTGTGTTGTATCAGGAAAGGATTGAAAAACAAATGCAACAGAGGAAGCGGGCCATAAATAACTAATCAAAAGTTTGGCTCGTGTTCAAGAACTAGCTGTTACGCTTTCACATGCTCACAGAAGTAAAAAAACAATCGTTGGAGGAGAAAATACATCAACCAGCAACAAATCATGCATCCATAATCTTCCAATACGCAAGAAAAAAAAAAAAAAAACAAAATAGAGTTCCGGAAATCACACGAAACACGATTTAAAGTTAAGAATCGGCAAAACACGGCATTTTTAATAGATCTGCTTCTCGAAGAAGACATCAATTTGACAACAGCAATTCTTCGTTCTAAGTTCTTCCGAATAATAATAAGCCAAAACTGTAGTTAACGTAGATAAAGGCAAAGCGGAGACACGAACCTATATCAACTAATTCGAATGCATCCCTTTCAATTTATAGACTAATTCAAAGATCTGCTCTTCCTGGATATCGAGGGAAGGGAATAACATCTCTGATGTTGTCAATCCCGGTAGCAAAGAGAACCATACGTTCGAATCCTAACCCAAAACCACAATGTTTGACAGTCCCAAAACGCCGCAAGTCAAGGTACCACTCATATGGCTCAGCAGGGAGACCCATTTCCTCAATCCTGCAATATCAGATTCATCGCAAGGTACATACAGTTGTCAGTTCATTTTAACATTACATTATAAAACTATGCACTCCAAAGTAAGGGGAGAGAAATTCTGCGGACGTCTCCACTGGAAAGAAATTAAATCATATAACAATAATAACAACAGCAGATAAGATCACTAAAACAGACCAATGAAATAATACCTGCTCATAATAACATCGTAACGCTCTTCCCTTTGGCTTCCCCCAATCAACTCTCCCACCTGAAATATACAAAAAAACATAAATGATAAGCGAAAGATACACAATGCTAAAGTATACAACAGAGCAGTGAACTCAACGATACAAAGTTCAAAGTATAATGCCCACCTTTGGTACCAAAACATCCATAGCAGCCACTGTTTTTAAATCATCATTGAGCCTCATGTAGAACGCTTTGATCCCTTTAGGATAGTTGTAAACGATAACAGGTTTTTGAAATAATACTTCCGTCAGGTATCTGCACAAAACCAGAATGAATCAGTGAGGTCAATTTAATAAGTAACCATAATAAGACAAACCAGCAGACTAATTCTAAGGGACTACCTTTCGTGCTCAGATGCTAAATCAATCCCCCACTCTACATGGTTCTCAAACTTCTTGCCCTTTTTCACAGCATCAATTAGCAGATCTACTGCTTCTGTATAGGTAATCCGTTTAAAGGGTGTCTTAGCAACCATTGTTAGACGATCAATGCAAGTTTTATCAATTTTGTCAGCCATAAATTGCATGTCTTCCCCGCAGTCGTCAAGTAACCACTGACACAGAAATTTCACATAAGCCTCTGCACAGTTCATATCATCCTACATGAATACACAAACTGTAAGACATCCGCATGACAATAGGATTCAAAAATACAAAAATTCATGAATACACAAACTGTAACACATCTGCATGGCAATAGGATTCAAAAATACAAAAATTCATGAAAAGAAAGTTAGGAGGCAACTCCTATGTTCCCACAATAAACAAACCATTCTCTAAATCGTAAAAAGCATTCAAAAAAATGAGAGAGTGAATTGAATTCCGACAACCAACTAAACAATGAAAATAAAGGACCTTTAACAATACTTCAAATTAAGGATACTAGAAAGCAGATATTAATTCTAATAGAGAATCCTAAAAGAAGGCCAAATAGTCATTTTCTTGGACCACTGTAAAATCTATATTGTAGCGAAGTAAACCTAATGCTGAGGATTTTGATATTAACATTATTGCATCTACATAGCATTTTGACATGAAAGTTGCCATTATATTGCAGATAATTCATCTCTAGCAACAGTGACTAGTGAGTAAGAGGGGTGTTTTAACAATACTTCAAAGTTCAAAAGAAGACACAAGAAACAAATAGGAATTAAACAGAACAAAAGGGTTTAGGAAGGCTGTTAAGAAGCTTAAGCTAGATTGTTGAATTAAACATGTTCTTAAGTGTAGGTGACCAAAGCATAAGACTGGGATATAACATAGAAGACATATATACAACCTAACATTAAAGTATGTAATGCATCTTTGACCACAATAAAGCTTCACACACCTCAAGTTCTGCAAATGCAATTTCTGGCTCCACCATCCAGAACTCTGCCAAATGCCTTGAAGTATGGGAGTTCTCAGCTCGAAAAGTAGGCCCAAATGTATAGACGCTACTAAGAGCACACGCATAAGATTCGACTTGTAATTGGCCAGAAACAGTCAAAAAGGCTTGACGGGCAAAGAAATCTTGGGTATAATCAACCTTCCCATCCTTTTGAGGGATACCAGGTTTAAGCTTAGATCGCTCCTCCATCTTTAAGACATTATCCTTTGCCTTTTTAAGCTCAGCCACAGCAGCACCAATTTCCTGCTTACTTGCTTTAGCAGATTTCAGCTGAGCAACATCATCTCCTCTCTCCTTGATGATAAGCTTGGCAGCTTCTATGTCTGCTTCTGATGGAGGAGGGTTCTCAATCAGATCCTTTTCCAACTTTTCAGCTTCACTAAACAAGGTTGTGACTTGAAACATCTCACCAGCACCCTCACAGTCACTAGTGGTGATAATTGGAGTTTGCACATAAAGAAATCCATGCTTATGGAAAAATGAGTGGGTTGCAAATGCCAATGCATTTCTGATTCGGGTAACTGCAGAGATCTGAAAGGAGATACTATATAATTAAATCAAACACTAATTGTCAAAATCATAAGAGGTCCTACAGGCAAGATAAAACTAGAAAAGGCCTTGGAAGCAACACATTATCATCAACAATAACTGCCCTTTAAAATCTTTCCATAAAAAACCAATGTCATATTCAATCAACCTTTTTTTTAAAGGGGAAAAAAAGAAAAGCCTCCACATAATTCATATTTCATTAAAAAATTATAAGAAAGAGTTATATTAATGAAATTAATAAGAGTCGACAAGCTATCCAAAACCAGCAGTACATCAATAAGCAGTAAGCTAAAATGGTAAAGAATACACTTCCTGACACATGTTGAAACCCACAACATTAATTAGGCTCCTAAAAACAGCTGCTTTCCAATCAGCTAAACAATAAATTGTAATGTCTTAAAATGTGAAAATAATTGAAGCACAAACAGAAGGCCAATAACATCATAATTTTTTTTGTTTCTTCCAGCAAAGGCTTATGCCTTCTAACTTCTAAGACAAGAAAGAAATGCATGAGCTGGAATTACCCATATCTCATTCATTCTTTTCAATAACTACTACTACTTTTCTTCCTTTTTTAAATGAAACCAGATGGTAACTACTAATTATCCATTATCTACAGATCTTTTCCTTTTCAATACCACAGAATGCACTGATCGCCAAGTACATTTTATAATCAAACAGAACGAACTAAAATACATATACAATTGTGCATAAAGTTATATTAATCATAATGATAACACAATTAAAAAAAAATAAAAAAACAAATCAACTATACCCAAGGGCCCAAGTACAAATTAAAAACGTCTACAGGCACACAGTATACCTGCATGTATGGTTTATGAGTTTAAACGTGTTTCATATTGATGCAAACAACTTACAGTGTTGGTTCTGGAACGCAAATGAACATGATCCCTCAAAAACTCGAGGGTGAGCCTGGTCTTGGGCAATGGGTATTTAGCTGGGTCAACCGGACCCACATGGATCACCTTGTCAACATCAAGCTCCACCTTCTGCTTTTTCCCATCTGGGGGAAGCTTAAGCACACCATCCACAGACAGGCAAGTACCGGTCTGCACAAGCTGCCCAAGGTCATACTTGTCAGCTTTCACAATCACCTGAAGGTTGCTGGCGCATGACCCGTCATTCAGCTCCAGGAATGCAAATGCATCCTTGTCTGCCTTGCGACCAGTCTTCACCCACCCACCAATCCGAATTTTCTGCCCTGCCAACCCAGACCCTCCATCAGGTCGCGAAATAATGGAACGGATGAGGACTCTATCAGAAAACTCCGCTTTTAGAACGGAGGCATCATCGCTTAAGGTTACTGCAGCAAGCTGGGC